GTGGGTGCCGGCGGCGCCCAGCCCGCAGCTTCCCCCCGCAGTGGGTGAGTGGGGGGCCCCCTGCCCGGGCCTGAGGGGGACCAACTTTCTGACTGCAGGGACCTGCACACCCCTCTCCCTTGCTTGCTCACTCTGGCTGGGGAAGGGGGTGGGGAGCAGAAAGGAATCTGGGGGGCACCAGGGGACTCCAGGCTGGAGGGCTGAGGGGCTCAGAGAAGGAATTTGGCTGCATGAAGGGCCACAGGGCTGGGCAGGAACGTGGGAGGTGCAGGCTTGGACAGCTCCTGGCAGGGGCCCGCATGGCCTAGGCAACACTGGGGCCACCTGGCTCTGAACTGCCCCCCCCACAGTTTGGGGCAAGGGACGGTGAGTCACTCCTGTAGCCCCTAGGAATGGGAGGGACGTCCCAGCTGCTGCCGGTGGCTGCGCAGAGCCAGGCCAGGCCAGGAGCTGCTGACAGTCAACACCTGGGCCTTCCAGTCAAACCCGCACCCTGGCAGCCCTACCGAGCGAGGGGGCTGAGCAGCTTTTCGAAATCCTCAGTCTCACCCCCCACCAGGGAACTAGACGTCTCGTCCCCTACAACTGACGGGGCGCCCGGTCTGCACATCTGGCCCCGCCGCCTTCTCAAGGAGCCGGGAGGTGCCGCGCCTGGACTGGGGGCCTGGCTCACTCCTGTCGGAGGCACTCGGGGCCCTGACCGGCAGGGACGGGAAACGCAGCCTGAACTCCGGCCCACCCTGGCGGCTGCTGCTGGCTGTAACTCCCAGCGTGGGGGCAAAGTAACCAGGCCCACTGCCCTGGTCACCGCCTGCCGCGGGCACAGCTGCTCTGGCTGCAGGTCCACAAGGCATGTAAGGGGAGAGGACTAGCTCAGTGGCTCAGGCACTGGCCTGCTAAACCCATGGTTGTGAGCTCAATCCCTGAGGGGGCCATGTAGGGATGTGGGGCAAATCTATCAGGGAGGGTACTTAGCCCTGCTGTGAGGGCAGGGGACTAGACTGTACGGCCTTCCAAGGTCCCTTCCAGCTCTAGGAGATAGGTAGCTCTCCATTTATTTAGGGTGGGGGAAGGCTCTGCCTTCACAAAGCACCAGGCACAGCCCTGCCAGCAGCCTCCACCCTCTCCAGGGCTGGATATGGCCTGGGCACATGGCCAGCATGCTCCCCTCCCCCTGGCATGGGGTGCTCCCCCAGGGCCTAGCAGGAAGGGGCGGGGGGTGCCAGCCCTGCCTTCATGGACTGCCCATGTGTGGCTTTGAGGCTTTGACCTGTATCAGTCTCCACTCCAGGGCTAGGAACTGGCCACTGGCCAGCTCATTCTATAGCTCAAGCTGAGTGGCTCCTATGCCGAGGTCCAGAGTTCAAAGCCAGCTCCTGGTGGTTACATTTGCATTGCAGGTTTATCTTTAACCTGCCCTCCCTGGCCCTGTTTTTCATTATTTGTCATCTCCCCCCCCCCAGTTGATCCCTAGACCCAGTTGCTTTTAGAAGTGGGCAGGCTGACCCCGCCCACCCCAGGGGTTTCAAACACTGCCTGGGCCTCCCCATTGTGCGGGGCTGGGGGGGGAGCTAGTGTTAGGCTCAAGGCCTCCAGACCAGCCCGGGGGCGTCTCACCTTAGCACAACGGCCCCAGCCTGCCCGGAACCCCTGTGCACCAGCCCAGCCTTGGCCACAGCAGGGCCCCCACCCCCCAATGCACATGGTACGGCCCAGGGCTCCCCCCCCATGGCTCCAGGCTGGCACTGAGCAGCGGGGGCCTCGGGCACTGGGGCACAGCCAGGCAGGCCCCGGGGGAGCCCCGCTGCAGGAGCCCGACCCA